GCTATGTAAGATTTAACACTTGATGCCTGAAGGGAGGATTACTGAAGACTTATCTACCTGATGTGTGTCACCTGAGACCCACCTCCAATCACCTCAAGTTGAAAGCAGAGATGGCAAAGTGAGGAATATGGGATGAGCTCAGATCCCAAAATCTTCAGCAATCACATAAAAAACAAGGTGTGGTGGCATGCACTCACAATCCCATACTTTGGATGCAAACCAACCTAGCCTAACTGGGAGTCCAGGTCCAACGAAAACACATTAGGAATCATGATGTGGACTCCGTCCTACATGAGCCAGAGGTCCTTTCTGAACACTGAAGCAAAGGCTTCAGCAGCCCTTAAGAGTACTGCCTCAGCCCGGCCGTGGTGATACACGCCTTTATCCCAGCATTGGGAGACAGAGGCAAGAGCATCTCTGTGAGTTGAGGCCAGCCTGGACTACAGAGTGAAGGAGTTCCAGGGCAGCCAAGGGTACACAGATAAACCCTGGGCAAAAACAAAACAACAAAAAGCTTCTGGGGCTTGTCACCCCACTATTTTCACCCACAACCCACACTCAGCCCCCCAAGCATTCCCAGCAGCGAGACAAGGACAAGTTTTGAGCTCCCATTCCTCAAAATCCTACTTCCAATACTGCTAAGCAGCCCGAGGTATTCCATGTTTAACCCAACGCTCTTGAGAACTGCTTTCTGCCTCAACTCCCATTGGTCTTTTACAGCTGTCTCCAGAGCCAACCAAAGACAAAAACATCCCAATTGAAGATTACACATGTGCTAGACATTTGAATCTTGTCTGCTCTCCCTAAACAATACAACATACCTGGAAAAAGCCTACAAGAATATGTGCATAGACTCTAAGCAGACACTACGCCACTTTACATGAGATTTGGGCATCCTCTGGTTTTGGTCCTGCAACTAGCATCACCCAAGGGTACCAAGGATCCAGTGCTAACAAACAAGGAAGCCATCTCCTCGTCTGTTCCCTGTCAATGTAACAAGACAGAAACAAGAAACACATAGGGCTTCAAAGCCGAAACCAGATTTCTCTGACACACCGTAAGTCAGGAACAGCCCGAGAATGTACGGGTCACATCTCTAGACACCATACAGCACAGACTGCCTCATACCCCCTTATCACCTCATGGTGTAGGCAAATAAATGGACAGGCAGCTCCGGGCAGAAGGCCACCACTGCTCTGAATCTTTCCACCTATCAGGCTAGAGTGAGGCATTAGAACAGCAGGGAAGGAGACAGAAGGCCTCAGCCACGGACTCCCGGACATCTCACAGTTCTAACCTCCCATCAGGTACTAGCTATAGCCAGACAGCTAGCTGTGACAGAGAATCTTAACAGCAGGATGGACCAGACAGCTCCAGTTCTACACACAATTCTATTTTATTATGGCAAAGGTGAAAATGTCACCTTCTCCACAACAGCAACCAGTAAAATTTATCCCAAAAATAACTCGGTACAAAACAGGTCTGTTTCAGAATTAAAAAAAAAAGAAAAGAAAAAAGCCTTTACATGAGTTTTTAGATCCTATTTTAAAACAGGAGGAAAAAAAAAGAAACAGAAAACAAATCCACCATTGTCTGCACAGTCCAGTTGCCAACCCTCCCTCTAGGGATCACGACGAGGCTTCTGAGTCCTGTTACTTGTGTGGATTTGCTCGGCTGTTTAACTGGTGTCCATCTGAAAGAGAGGGAGAAGGAGGTTCATCAGGGAAGCCCTTGTCCTACTGGCTTCAAGAGGTCACCACAGGGTCAGTCACTCAGCCCCACCAGTCTTTTCTGAGCCCCAGGACTCACCCTTGCATTATAAGCATCCAGCTGTGCATCCAGCTCCTCTGCAGAAAGTTGCTGCTTTGAGTTCCTGCCGGTACCTCTACCTCTTCCCCGGCTGCCTCCGCGGGTCCCTCTCCGGGTACCACCACCACCGAAACTCCCAGAGCCACGGTTTCTTGTCATGCCACCTCTGTTTATGCTAACAAAGAAACACAGAACTCTGAGATCTGGAAAGGCCTTGTGGGTGGTGTTATCACAAATACAGGCCTTTCCCCATCCCCAAGGGCCCCAGAACTCACCTCTGTGGAGGTCTTCTTTGCGTATCAATTTGTGATGTGACGAGCTGGATGTTCATGGGACGGCCTATGGTAAAGAATACAAGAAGTCTCATTCCAGGGGCTCTGAAGTTGACCCAGAGGGCACCACACCCTGGTCTCCATGCAAGCTCTGGAAAGGGCCTGTGTGTGTCTCCAATGCCCCCAAGGTATATGGCCTGGAGAGCCTGGTGGGAAAATAAATTGGCAATAATAAACCCCACCAACACCTCCTCACTCCTTCTCAGTTCAGGCTAAGAGGGCTGTTTGGTCAGGTGTCTAGGGCGCTCATGGGTGGACAGGTGTGGGTGACCTGATGGAAGAAGAACAGGTACCTTTGTCTTTACGACTACAGCCCCGCACTCAGGTTGTACTATGGCGGTTCTGAGAAGGCTTCACAGAAGTGAATCTTCCGGAAGGAGCTGAAGGAGGGGAGGGATGTAGCTTGCTGGATGGGGGTTCACAAGAGGTTGGTCCAGATGTGTGGGGCAGCATGAGAGGTGGCAGAATGGAAGAGAGAGACAAAGGGGCAAATGCAAAGTGTCCTCAGCCACAGGGCAGCCCATTTTCCTACAGGGAGGGGTGCCAGCCCCAAACTCCATAAGCCCCACAGGCATCCTGGGCCCCGCCCCACACTCACCATCCAAAGGGACACCATTGTACTGTTTCATAGCCTTCAGGGCATCTGCCTTCCGTTCAAAGTGCACATCTGCTGTCCCTAAACTTCGTCCAGAGCGATCGTAGTGCACAGCTGCTTTCTTCAACGTTCCAAACTCCGCAAAGAGTTCCTGTAAAGTGGGAAGGGCGACAATTAGCAAAGCAGTCAAGTTTTTTCCTTCTAGTGGCTCAGTAAGTAAGTTGCTGTGAGTCTGCGTGCTTCGAGGTACTCTACTGACAGCCACCCAGGAAGGGGGCAGGGCAGTGGCAGTTAAGAGGTGAGGGGCAGGGCTGCCGGAGAGAGGACAACTGTCACCAGCACCTGGGTTCCTGTCCACTTTGGGACTGTGTAACTGCACCATGATGCCAGTGAAGGAAGCACAAGCCCTACAGAGCAAAAGATGAAGAACTCTCTCTCTTAGCAAGTGCGCTCACAACATGACCAACAGCTGTTTCACCTACAGCAGAAGCCAAGAGTAAGATGAAGGAAGTTGTTCGTAGAACAGACAGCTCAAAGGGCCCACTGATTTGGGGAGCTGTGACCCCAGCCCCTCCCCCAAAGGCAGATTCTGGCTCACCTTTCCCTCTCCTCCTACTCAAGCCTGCTGCAAAGTCTGAAGTCAAACACGCCATGGAAACTGCCCTGACCTCAGGCAGGCTGGGAGTTGGAGAGGGAACCCAGTGTGGGGCTACTTCGGCTGCAGGCACACAGCGGGAAGTGGAGTTCACCAAAAGCGGTTTCCAGTGGATGCCAGAAACCACCTTAAAAAAAGTGTTGAGACACTGTGAGTGCTCACTGGCCTTGTTCTATCCTCCCATGGCAAGGCCAAATGGCTGGGCACTGAGAAATGGAACCCAGAGAAGCCCAGCACCACCGACCAAGCCATCTCCAAAACTAATTCCCAAGACAAGTTGCTTCATAGCTCTAAACGCCCTGAAGGCCCAGTAAAAAAAAAAAAAAGAAAGAAAAAGAAAAATAGAAAAAGACTTCAACCAAAGGTACGAGGACCATGCCCCTGGCAAGATCCAGGAAAGGTCAAGAGTTAAGATACGAGGTCAGGCTGTAAAACACACAGCCACCATTCACCCCTGTGCTGTCAGGTGTCTGGGCGAGAGACCTACCTTCTGCAGTCAGCTCGCTCCAAGAGGCACAAGCTCTGAGAAGCAAGACCCTCGGTCATACAGGGACCGTTAGAAACTGGGAATCCTGGCAGAGGGCAGGAGTCACCTTCGGGGGCGCACCGGGCTACCTTCCAGCACTCTGACTTGTTATCAGTCACATTCACTACCAGGAGATCCTTCTTTTTCCTGAGGTTACACTGGCCGGCCCTTGGGCAGCACAGGCTCCAACCAGAAGGGTTCTGGACCACACACCCGAGTCTCCTACCTGAATATCAGCGTCTGACACTCCGAAGTCGAGGTTTGACACCAGCAGCTTCCCACCCGTCTCCACGCCGGCTCCACCCCCGAAGCCGCTGTCGAAGAGGTCGTGCTGCCATTTGTCTGGAAGCTGTTTCGGCTGAAGGGAGACGGTAAGGACGGAGAGGTTCGTGAGCCTCGCCCCGGGCGCCCTCGACACCTCACCGACACTCTCTCACGTCGGCCCGCGGCCAGGGGCCACGAGCCCGAAGAGT